ACTTCGCTCAAATCGCTGGCTTCACTGACTTCAAGAGCGCAGGAGGCCCGACTACGGTGTCTTCAGGAACTGCGGCATGCCTATCCTTGTCTTCTGTATTATCTAATTCTTCTTCTAAATGTTTGGGGCATTGCGTCTGCGGAGTTTCTGAGCCGTTTGCTTTGGTCAAGAATGAACGAATGCCCCGTTGACCTAAGTAGTTGAGCGACTATACAAAAAGGAATTGTAACCGCAAGAAACACCCAGTTCACTACTCTAGGGTACTAGGCCCAAAACGAAAAAAAAACACTGCCTTTCCCCCTCTTCCCCCCTCGTTCACTTACCGGTACACGTCTCCGAAACCAAACTCCCGCAGACACTCCTCCCTCATGGTGAACAGCTCCGCCAGCCCCAGGGCGCCGTAGCAACCGGGCTCGGACTGCAGGCGGTCCAGATGGGCACCGAATGCCCTGGAAGGCGTGTGTTGGGGGGAGGCGTGTGTTGGGGGGAGGCGTGTGTTGGGGGGAGGCGTGTGTTGGGGGGAGGCGTGTGTTGGGGGCGGGGAGAAAAGTTGGGGGGCAGGGAGAGAGGTGGGGGGGGAAGTGGGAAGAGAGGTGACAGAGGGGGGAGGAGGGAGGTGTTGTGGCTGGAGAGATAGCGGGATTGACATATTCCCAAGTCCAAGGAACGAGGTTGAAAGGAAGCGGGGGAGGCCGTGAAAGGCGAAATCGGACAACTCGACAACAAGAACAGCCGCAAACGACCCAAATGAACACACACACACACACACACACATCACTAGCGGGGAAAGACGGGGTTCCAGGTAGAGCGAGTTTGCCCTGCTGCTGCGCTCGTAACCTTTTCGCCAGAGATCTACTCAAAGCTGAAATGTGTGTATGGAAAAAACCACAACCGCCCACCACCCGCAACCGGACCGGAAGGCAATTATTGCTAAAGTGCAGAGAGGGGCAGCGCACACTGATACCGGGGCCTTCCCCTGCCCCCCCTCCCCCTTCCTCCCTGCCCCCCTTTCCCCCCTCCCATCCCCCTCGTCCCCCTACCTCCCAACGCCTGCGCCCGCCTCTCGCAGCTCTCCCCGCCCTCGCTACCGGAGGCCTTCTCCACCAGCACCGGGATC